TTTCTTTCCTGCAGCATTTCGCACAGTATTATTTACTCAAGCAAAGCAAACTCTGCTCAGCCTTAGTGTCTGTCAGCTGACGAAAGGGCAGTTACCTCACCCAGGTGGTGCCAGCCACCATCTTCAGTTATGCCTGGGCTGGCCAGGGCACCCAGCTCCTGGCTGACTGCCACAAGCAGGCTTGCAGCTGGTGTGCTGTGCTCTTAAGCTACTACATATTTACTCAGCAGCCAGTAATCACATTGTAGTAACCTACTCAGTTACTGCAGCTGGCTAAGGCCCGTACTCCAGATGCTGACTCCTGGGAGAGGCAGAAATACATACGTGAGTAAGTGCAGTCCACACTCGGTGCTTCTGGAAGCCTGGGAAAGACGAGGATACACAAAGTGTTTGTCCACCTGTAAGAGCAGCAATAACTTCATAGCTGTGGCACTATATGAACTAAATCTTGAAGGAGTCCCAAGAGGGAGGCTGAGTGTCTTGGAAGAGTGGACCTCATCTACAGCATGACAGCACTACTTTAAGGCCAGGGTCTTCAGGGCAGTGGCTGGCAGGGTGCACAGGGGCCCAGTCACAATGGGCTCTGTATGCCAGGCACAGGAGTGCTTATTCTGAAGGCAAGAGGAAGACATGGCATGGTCAAAGGTGTTTCATGACTCTCTGGCAGTGAAGTAGGGAGGATGTGGGGAGGCCATCCCCACGGGTTTCAGTCTCCCCTGGATGTCTGGCCAGCTCTTCCACGTCCACTGCCCTTCCTACACCGACGATGGTTTCTGTCACATGCCACTGTGATTGGTGTGGCAGAGCCCCAGCCATGTGAATGAGATCCATGGGGTCACTAGACTCCACCTGTGTCTTCTGCACTATCTGGAGCTCCTTGCCACAGCATTACACCCAGGAAGACAGATTTTCTTTCCAGACTAACTAGAACTTGAGGTGGAAACCTCTTAGGAATAGGAAACAAGGCTACTGACCCACAGGGCTGCACCCAGCTATAGCTCCTCCACCTCACCATGGTTAGGAGAGGAAAGAAGGGCACGGGGGAACAAGGTCATTGAAGCTGGAATACATATTTTTAGAAAGGGATATCTGGTAATATCAATGACTGGTTTGAGACAAAGTCATCTTCCAACATTAGGCATCAGGAATGACATAGGAGTGATGAGTTGCTAGGAAGTCATGAGGTTGGACGTGGAGGTGATGAAAACCCCACACTGAAAAATACAACAAATACAGAGGAGGCCTTGTAGGCCACAAGAGCATCACCTGGGTTATCAGAGCAGGGGAAACACCCACACATGAACTGTGGACCAGGGCTCAAGGAAGAGACAAAATGGAAGTGCTAAGCCACCACGCTACTCTAAGTCTCGCCTGTCAGTATTTACCCCCGGTGGCTGTGCATGGAGGCCCTGTTCACAGGTGTTCTCTTCTCCAGCACAGGGAACTCCTGGGGCAGGCACTGTCATTTCCAGTTGGCCCTGACATAAGCCAGAAGAAAAAAAAAAAAGCAGTGAATTCCCTGGAAGAACTCTGGCTCAGTGAATTTGCCAGTGAGAATGAACAAGCCCTAAGGTGAATTTTCTGAAGAGATCATTCAGTTCTTTACCTAACTCAGGGTGAACAAATAGATACCAAAAATGCAGGGTCCCCAATTTTCCCATCAGTGGGTTTCTTAAAGAACTTTATTTTTTCTAACCATAATTCTTTCAATAAATAAATTCCAGTAACCCATGGAAACCTGGGGTAACAGAGGTAGCGTAGATAGGCGATATAGACACCTCTGATTCAGCCCTCTCAGCTGTTCGATATTTTTTATTTTAGGCAGGGCTATAGGAGGGTGGACGAGGGGAATGACAGGTGTATCTCATTTTTCAAATTATTCTTTGGCAAAGAAAAAGTTAAACATTTTACTAAGACTATATATCAACATTTTACTAGACTTGTTTTATAAAGAATAGTGAATGTGTAGCAAACCTGAATTTCCACAGTTAAACATTGATCAAAGTGAAGGACAGACATGGTGGCTCACACCTGTAATCCCAGCGCTTGGGGAGGCAAAGGCAGGCAGATTGCTTGAGCTCCGGAGTTTGGGACCAGCCTGGCCAAGATGGTAAAACCCCATCTCTACCAAAAATTTTAAAAATTAGCTGGGAATGGTGGCACATGCCTGTGGTCCCGGGTTGAGGTGGGAGGACTGCTTGAGCCCAGGAGGTAGAGGTTACAGTGAGCTAAGATCGCACCACTGTACTCTAGCTCCAGCCTGGGTGACAGAGTAAAGACCCCACCTCAAAAAAAGAAAAAAAGAAAATGAAAACAATCCTGAATTGGTGGTTTACATCTTCTTGTTGGAAGTCTTAAATGAAAAAAAAATCTGCTTGATTATCGGCAAAAAGGGTGACGTTAACAGGCATATGTGACTTACTTTGAAAATCTCTTAGGGAGTAAGAAGGTTCTACTTAACAAAGGTAAATCAGAATGCACGAGTAGCGCCGTGGGTTTTACAGAAGAAATGGGAACTGATTTTTCACAGCAGTTCTTGAAATAAGTGGGGTGGGAAGTGGCAGCAGAGCAACCCCATGGAACAGCAAGTAGCATCTGTTCACTGAAGACTGTGACAAGAGTTTTGTGATCAGCACTGCCTGGGAATTTGCCCTCTGGGATTTTTCTTTCTTTTTGGGTCTAGAATCAAGCAAAAGGCTTTTTCAATCTTTCTGCTGCCATAAGAAAAAACACGCTGGGTCTATCACCAGATGGCCTGTGAATGGGCTAGGACTCTGTTGAGACTGGCCTAGCTACGAACACTGTTGTTCTGTTCCCTACAAGGTTTTTCCAGACAAGTGTGCAAGTAACTAAGGACAGAGAATATGCACAGTGCTTGGAATCATGTGAAGTGCTAAATACTAAGGTACATGACCCTTCAGAATGTACATTCACCATGTTTTAGCTCCTGAGCAGCCTCTCAGGCTTCCAGTGCTTAGAGACGAGGGCAGGTGAAGACACTGGTTCCCTGTGGTCTGTGCTCGGCAAATCAAGCTGGTGAAAACACAGACGAGCAGCTACAGGAGAAAAGGGCACAGCTGAGACCCATTTTCATTATCTCAGTAACACTCCTGCCTCGGCTCCTTAGCAGAGAGACTACAAAGGCGTAGTCATTTGCTGGCAGGTTATTTAGGGGAGGATCAGAGGTAAGAGGTGAGCCTTCTTCTGAGAGGTTTACCCTGAAGTGTTTCCTTATAGGAGTGCTTGAAAACCATGCAGCTTATGCATCAAATTCTAAGCAATAGTCAGGACTCTCTCAAGTACAGCCAAGAACCAGGGTTCAGGAAGCAAAGGTTTTGGATGTCTGACTAGATGTCAGAGCTGCCCACGAGCTTCACTTCCCCAGGGTCCTGCCCACTCCCACCTATTTCCAGGACTGGCCTTTTGGCCGAGTCTAGGGATTTTCATTGCCTGGCAAATCAGAAATCACCAACTAGTACCCGGTTGGTTGGGGGCATATGCACTGGAGCCAGAAATGTGACTTTGGCCTGTGAAAGAGCGAGGGGAACGCCAAGAAGCCAGAAGGTCTCAAAGGCAACTGGGTCCCACAGTCACCCAACAGGTCCCATGGGCCCCACTGGCCAAGCACCCAGGACAACACCAGCTGCTTACTGTGATGGGCCACATCTGGGTGTGCCCTTAAGATGGGGTGTGTGTGTAAAGTATCTCTGGGGGATTTCCACTGGACAGAATGCAATAATTCAGTTATCTGGACATTTTAAAATAATTGCTTACTCTCTGATAATAAGCAAAGTGTTTTTCTACTGTGCAAATACTTTGATGTCAGAATAATTGATATTACCGCTTTCAGTGTGGTCCAGGGGGCACAATGTCTTCCATGTATGCTGCATAAATGTCTCCACTGGACAGCAGGCGCCGGCATCATTTCTCCCACAGAAGTGCTCTTCTGAAAAGCTCTGCATCAACACCTGCACCACCAGCTGGGAAGCTCCAGGCAGCCCGAACTACTACTATGGGATGTGCCCTGACTTGGGCCTAGGACTGGCACCAGGCAGAGAACCTCATTTCCTGGGTCACAGGGGGCAGGAATTAGGGTCACAAGCTCCTGCCCTGCCTAGAGAGGATGCTTAGTGCTCAGCTGGCAAGAGGAAAAGTGTGAAGCTGAAGTTCCTCTCTCTCCTAGGCCCTGAGAGGTGGGGATTAATGTGTCTCCTGGACAAGCCCGAGCTCCTCAGATGTCAACATTCTTTCTATCCATTCTCACTCCTCCTGCTCTGTGTGGCCCATTAGCCAGGGGCCACCCTCAAGTTTAACGGGTGAAAACAGGAAACAAGGCCTACCTTCCTTACCTTCTGGGTCTCTGTGACAGACTGCTCTCACAATCAGAGATTCTATAAATTAAGAAAAATCAACTAAACCCAGAAGATGGCCGACGGGGAAATCCAGAGGTGTAAGGAAGCTGGCAGTTAAACCTGAGAGTGTTAAGCAGGCAGCAAATGAAACTAGACACATTGATTTTGCGTTTGATTTCACTGGTTCAAATGTCTACATGCTGGAGTAAATCCACTTGCCTCTCTTCGGGGCTCTTCCTTTGCAATACATTAATTTGGCTAAGGATGGCTATGCCACTGTTGACTCCTGGTCCTCCAAGGCCTGGGAGGCTTACCTCCCGGCAGGGCCCGGAGCCACAGCAAACTCAGAAGCCCACAGGTGCAGTCTCAGTGGCATCAGATGTTGGGCTGATTCCTAAGACAGCAGGGTCTGGCGCTCTGATAAGGAGCTCCCAGCTCACAATCACATGACACTGCAGAAACATCAACGCCAGCTGGTCCAGACTCCAGCCAGTTTCCTCTGGGCAGCCTGTCAGAATGGCCTCCCTGCCTTTCTGTTTTTATCACCCAAATCTAGCTTCAAAGGGCTCCAAAATGTCCTTGCCACATCTGGACCTGAAAGTAAGATCTGATTTTTAAGAGATTCTCATTGCATTGGGACAAAATGAATAATGTGCCTTTCATATTTTCTTTGTATTTCTCTTCAACAGTTGCTTGACTCAGCATCTTTCTGTCTGCTCTATACAATGAAAATACAAACTAAATGAGAATAGAAAAAATAATTAAAGCATTAAATTGTACAAATTACAAATCTGTTCCAAAATATACTTACATTAAATAAAATATGCATTTCAAGAAGTGATCTACCGTGAATGACTATGCATTCTGGGAAGCTTCACAACATCTAGGCAGGGCCAGCACTCCTGAAAGAAGCTAAGAGATTTTGCATCCAATCACAGTTTGTAGTGGGTATCTTATTGCCAATCTGCAAGTTACACCGAACACATCATTAGCATCGCTTGTGCAGAAAACCAATTTTGTTGGGGAAAAGGGAAAGCAAGCTCTGGCCTCAGTTTTGAGTTCATTACAACTTCTTAAGAATTTCACCAATAGCCTATACAGTACAAGTTCAAAAAAGTAAACATGTTAAGGTAAGCAGACAACTCTTCAGAAGCCCAATCACATTTTCTTGCTGTATTTATGTTGAATTCTCCATCTACAATGAGCAGTCATGAAGATGGTCTTCTTCAGGGCAACATGGTCACAGGACTGGGGCAATCCAGGGGACTGAGAGGGAGCGTGAGGACAGGAGAGGGGGCTACCTCCTGCTGTGTCATGTGAGAGACAAACTGTAACACAGTCCATGGGCCTGCAACCATCCCCTTTTATCATCTGGCATAACGCTTGATGTAGTCGTCCACTTTATTCCGGAAGTCCTCCTGTGGAGTGAGAGCATCAGGGACAAAAAAAAGAACAGGAAGAGTGAGTGAGTGAAGCAGCGCTTCAGGGACGAGTCAGATTTACCAGCACCAAGGCCCCCTGTGGTTGCCAAGGTGGTGGAAGGACCAGGATCTTGCTGAGTCCGAGTGCCATTTCACCATGATTTGGGTGCCTATTGCATGCAAGACGCAGTGCTGGGTGTGCTGAGGGGGGTGTGCAGAAGACCTGAGTGGGAGGGACCCTAAGGGAGCATCTATCCCTCCTCATTTTTCAGACAGGGAAAGTGGAGCCCAGAAAAGTGTAGTCAAGGTCACAAAGCCAATACTCCTTTGGCCACAATGGGTTTGAGCCACAGCTGCTGCTCTCAGGAAGACGCCTGTTTCTAGATTTGTCTTCCTGGAATGATTTCCATTGACCTTGCTACCTATTTAAAATGTGCCTGCTCTTCCCAGCCCATGTACAGCCCCCAACCTAAAGATAGCTACCCTGCTCAGAAGAGAGCTGGTGTGCTGCAGAAGTCCATCCTCATGCATTATTGAATAGTACAGGTGGCCAGTGACCAAAGGCGGTGTGGACCTAGGAATCACCCCAGGCCAGTGTAGATGAGATGAACTTCTCAGATCTGGGTCACTGTCCCAGGTTTGTCCCTGGATCTGGTCTCCCCAAGGTTAGGAGTAAAATCCCATGGGATTGTATAAGCCTTAAGAGTCACTTGGAGCTCTTAACCCTCTCACTCCTACAACACAGCTGCTGGGTCCCAGATGTCCCTGCAGGATCACACTGCTTCAGTCCCATCAATGCCATGCAGCTCCCACTGCACAGGGAATACAGCACAGTTATCACAGTTCTTAGTGGGCATGAGTTCCATTTCTTTAGCTATGCCTCAGTCCTCCTGTCTAAGCCTCAGTCTAGCCTGCCTGCTGACTCCACTGTATAATCTTAACACCTGGCAACATGCAGAGCACACCCTGGCACTCGTTGTACACCTCGCTGCTGCCGTAATGCCCTCTCGCAGGGGAGATCCTGCCTGGCGCATGGTCCTGGCCAGCTGGGCACCAGGTGCCTGCCCTCCTGCCACACCCTTAATTAGCATGGCAACCCTTTCCAGGGTGGGCAAGTTTGCAATTTGAGGCTATGGGTAAGGTCCCATGATTTGCTCTGGTCTCAGGGTGAGAATGTGGAGTGCTCTGATTGTATCCAGGTGCCTCTGCCCTGCGGACTGCCCTGTTTGTCTACAGGATGGTGTTGGAGCCTCACACATGGGCCTTTACCCCACAACAAAGGGAGGTGTGCAGAAACCCTGCCTGCCCTTTTACAAAACCTTCTCAAGGCTATTTCCACAGTCCCCAGAGCCAGACAATACTGGTGAGGAAGGAGACCCAGGCATCTGGGATCACTTCCCCCTTGATTTCCACACTGCATTTCAATAGAAGAAAAGGCTGGCCGAGGGGTGCCTCCTAAATCACGTTCCTATAAGATAACAGGCATGGTGTGGGGGAATCTCTCCAGAAGACACTGTTTTTACTTAAACAGGACCAAACCCACACCCCACTCCTCCAGCAGGAGACCAGAAACCTTTCACATGTAATTCCTCAAACTGTAAACCTAAGACCCTTTCATATGTGATTTCTAAAGCTGTAAACCCAAGACCCTTTCACTTGTAATTACAAGTGTAAACCTAAGGCTGTAAACCTAAAATCCTTTCATGTGTAACATCTAGAGTGTAAGCCTATATAAAGGCAGAGCTTCTCTTTGTTAGGGGAGCTCGGCCATTTGGACAAAACTTAAAGCCTTGCTCCTGGGACGTAATAATAAAACCCCTTTGGCCGCTCACGCTTCACTGTCAGTTCACAAGCTTACAGGCTGTGAAATGAAGACCCCATAAATGCCCCTGCCTCTCCACATTCTGGAGGACAAAAGATGCCATGTACTCGTAGTCCCCCTGCTCACCTCACCCAGCACAGAGCCCAGCATCCATGACTGCAGCAGGCCCCATGCTCCAGCCTCTGCTGCCTCCCACCTCTCCTCTCCTACCCCAAGGTACACGAAGCACAAGGCCCAGGTGAAACCACAGACTCTGGAACCAGATCGAGGCAGATCCAAGTCCTGGGATTTGCCCCCAAAGGGCTACTCAATCATGGCCGATCTCAGCTTCTTGGTGGCTGTGTTCTCAGCAGCAAAATGGGGATCATAAAGGTACCTGCCCCCGCGGGGCTGTTGTGAGAAACAAGTGCACTCTGTGCCAAGTGCAAGGAGTGTGCCTGGCTCCTCTGATTCCATCCTTCTGACCCGCACCAGTTATATGGCCTCATTTCTCTGCCCTGAGCACCACAGCACATTCCTGCCTCAGGGCCTTTGCACTGGCAGCCGAGGCTTTCTGGAGTGCTCCTCCCTCACCATCCCACCCTCCGTGACCTGCTCTCCACCTTACATTCTGTGTTTGTTCACCTATTTTTAAAAATTTTACTTATATATACTTTTTGAAATGGAATTTCGCTCTCGTTGCCCAGGCAGGAGCACAATGGCATGATCTTGGCTCACCGCAACCTCTGCCTCTTTGGGTTCAAGTGATTCTCCTGCCTCAGCCTCCCAAGTAGCTGGAATTACAGGTGCCTGACACCATGCCCGGCTAATTTATGTATTTTTAGTAGAGATAGGCTTCACCACGTTAGCCAGGCTGATCTCAAACTCCCGACCTCAGGTGACCCGCCTGCTTCAGCTTCCCAAAGTGCTGGGATGACAGGTGTGAGCCACCGCGCCTGGCTATGTTTATTCACCTTTGCTCCGCCTCCTCCTGCTGGAATGTGTGCGCCACAGGGACAGAGACTGTCATTGCCACAGTCCCTGAGCACTTCACACCACCCCTGGCACATAAGTGGCCACCAGCTAAACAAGTGATGAACGAATGAACCTAAGGAAGGGCGCTTGACAACTGTGACCATTACTCAGCAGAAGGCATGGGTGGGGCTACAGCACTGCTTAGGCTTCATGTGGAGGCATCACTGTTTGGAGATTTTAGGTCCATTTTACTGGTGCTAAAAGTGTATCAGTTGCAAAGTCTTATTTCATACGAATAAGGAATATGAAGTCTTATTTCATACAAAGAAAGGTAAAATGTAAGACCTCTCTCCACCTGGAGCCATGCGAATGCTCCTATTGCCATCACTTTCTATCTGACAAGGCTTGGTCCGCAAGGGCTAGTCCTCACCAGCGACAGCAGAGAGGAATGCCACCACCAATGCCTGCAAGGGGTGGGCCAAGGGGCGCATTTGCCCAGGGCCTGTCAGCGCAGTATCAAGCCCAAGGCTTTGCTGGACAACACAAGTCCATCAGGACCACCAATGGACAGCAGGGGTTGGGGGCTGACTGCCCCCATGGGGAGCTGTGAGCATAGGGCTGAGGTGCCGGCCTCGGCCAGGGATGCCTCACGCCACTGCCACTTCTCTTGAGGAACCCTGTTGCCCTGGCCCTCAGAAGAAAGCTCTCCTCCTTGGCAGAACGCTAACCTCAGAAGACAGCCTGCTCTGCCGGCCTGGTTGCACTGCGCCACTTCCTGTGCTCACTGTGCCTGCCACTTGTTTTGTGGGTCTGAGAAGGATGCATGCTGGGTGGGACTTCTCTTGCCTCCCTGTTGGAGGTGCTCCTGCCCACTATTTGGGGCAGTGGTCAGGCAGCACCTGTGGCTTTGAACTCAGGCTCAAGACTATAGCGAGGACCTGGTAGGACACATTTCAAACACCCTACTCAGTCTTGGCACACAGTTGGTCTAACTCACATTAACAGAAGCCAAGGCTCTGAACATTCAGCTCGATGTCTAAAACTAGCTAGAGGGGTTTTAGAACTGTGTTCAAAGCTATGTCAGGCTGGGTGCAGTAATCCCAGCACTTTGGGAGGCTGAGGTGGGTGGGTTGCTTGAGGCCAGGAGTGAGACCAGTATGGCCAACATGGTCAAACTCTGTCTCTACTACTAAGAATACAAAAACTAGCCCAGTGTGGCGGCGCCAGCTACTCGGAAGGCTGAGGCACAAGAAGCGCTTGAACCGGGAGATGGAGGTTGCAATGAGCAGAGATTATGCCACTGGACTCCAGCTGGAATGACAAAGTGAGACTCTGTTTCCAAAAAAAAAAAAAAAAAAAAAGGCAACTTCAGTCAAGCAAACAGTGATGTCTGGCCGACTGCTGCAATGGCAAGGCTGCCATAGGGAATCTGGTTCAGAGAACGGAATGCGAGATTCTACCACCAAATCCAGCCAGAGCCCCCACTCGTCTGAGCCACCTCAGTCGTAGCCACACATGGCCTGTCTGCAGGCTCCTGCTCCTTGTGCTTTGCACCGGGCCAGCGGTAACGTCATTTCAGACCCCTTGCCTGACAGTGCTTCCCCTCGAGGCTTTTATGCTTTCTCTTATCACACAGTTCAAACCACCGCTGCCTTGCTACTCAAGCACCGCGGAAAGGTGACATTCAGCGACTCTAATTCTTTCAGCCTGGGTTTTGTTGCGCTTTTTTCTTTCCAGTGAGGTTTAATACATTCTTTCTAGGTAAACGGTCTTCTTAAGCAGGTGTCTTATTGGCAGATCTCAGATCCATTTGTAAACAGGCAAGATAGAAGCACAATTTAGTAGCATCTGTGGCTAATTCCTGCTATTTGCAAAAGTGACTGACCAAAGATTCCCTCTCCAGCAAAGACTCCTGAAATTCAAAGGAAATCAAACAATCTAATGCAAGAGTGACTCAAAAGAAAACATGTAACTCAGCGACGCAAACAGGTAGTGCCGCATTTAAACAAAAATGCCCAGCCTCTCTAGAAGTTCAGGAAGTAGAGTACATCTCCATGGAGCAGAGTGCTCAGGGCAACAGCTGCCTGTCTGCCTGTGCTGCTGGAAAGCCTCAAGGAAAAACAACCTGGCAAAAGGTATTCAAATTAATGACACACACAATCCTAGTAATGCCAGTTCTAGGATTCTCTTCTGCAGAAATAAAAACCCTCGTATTTCCGGGCGCGGTGGCTCCAGCCTGTAATCCCAGCACTTTGGGAGGCTGAGGCGGGTGGATCACGAGGTCAAGAGATCGAGACCATCCTGGTCAACATGGTGAAACCCCGTCTCTACTAAAAATAAAAAAATTAAAAAAAATTAGCTGGGCACGGTGGCGCGTACCTGTAATCCCAGCTACTCAGGAGGCTGAGGCAGGAGAATTGCCTGAACCCGGGAGGCGGAGATTGCGGTGAGCCAAGATCGCACCATTGCACTCCAGCCTGGGTAACAAGAGCGAAACTCCGTCTCAAAAAATAAAACCCTCGTATTTAAGATGTGTGCACAAAAGACATTCATTACATTATTGTTTGTAGTTGGAAAAAAAAAAAAAACCCCTAAGAAGAAAACCTGAATGCCCACCAAGAAGACAATGGTTAGAAACAAAATATAGTGGAGCCACTATATGGAAATACAGTGTGGCTCCTGAAATGAATGAGGGATCATTTATGCACCGCATTAGGGGAGAAAACCTTTTAGAAGTGGAACTGAAGATGAAAAGTAATGACCAGGGGGAGCTCTCTGAACCTTTACAAGCTCAGGGTGCTGCCCTAAAAACTAAGTAAATAAAAATGATAATGAGTAATGAATAGGATCTCATTATTTTGGGTAAAAATCAAAACCAAATGTGTATGAATGTGGATGACCTCAGCAAAAGGTGTGGAAGGGTAAGATGAACTGCTGGAGGCTGGGAGGGTGTGACACCGTCCATTTCTCCTTCTATGTTCCTACCCTTTATTTATTTATTTAGAGACAGAGTCTCACTCCGTCACCCAGACTGGAGTGCAGTGGCACAATCTTGGCTCACTCAACTTCCCACACACAAGCAATCCTCCGACCTTAGTCTCCTGAGTAGCTGGAACCACGGGTGTGTGCCACCATGCACCTGGCTAATTTTTGTAAAGAGAGAGTTTCGACATGTTGCCCAGGCTGGTCTCAAAGCAATCTGAGCTCAAGCAATCTGCCCACCTTGGCCTCCCAAAGGTTGGGATTACAGGTATAATCACAGCGTCACCATGCTAGTGCTAAACTTGTTATAAATTACTCATACTAAATTCCACCAGGAAATCACGTCAAATAAAAATCACTTCTCGGGTGGGCAACGTGGTTCATGCCTATAATCCCAGTACTTTGGGAAGACAAGGCAGGAGGATCGTTTAAGGCCAAGAGAGTTCAAGACCAGCTTGGTAAACAAAGTGAGATCCCATCGCTACAAAAAAAAAAGTAAAAAAATCAGCTGAGTGTGGTGTTGTCCGCCTGTGGTCCCAGCTACTCAGGAGACTGAAGTGGGAGGATCACTTGGGCCTAGGAGGTGGAAGCTGCAGTGAGCCACGACTGCAACACTGCACTCCAGCCTGGGTGACAGAGTGAAGTCTTGTCTCAATAAAAACAAAAAACAAAACACACACCAATCTGGAACCTGAGCAAATGGCAAAGCAGTGCTGCTAGGCTCATGTCTCTAACCTTGGGTAAAGCATTTTCCTGGAGTTACAAACATTTACTATACCATATTATTTATAAATTGCGTTGAATTCCAGCCTTGCATCCCACCACTCTCAGTTTCTTATTTATCCAATCAAGAGACTGTAGTAACCGTCTTTGTGACAAGTACATCTACCTGGAATAACCTGGCTCACCTTGTCCCGCAAATGATGTTCTGCAGCTTCAATATTCAGTGGGTCATCAAAATTCAAAAGATCCTTAAAAAGAGAGAAACTTAAAGTAAACATTGGAAGACTGGTTTTTCTGCTATTGAAGGCTTCATTTCATGATACAGTAAGAAGTCTAATTAGCAAATGGCAGACCAAACTGGAGAGCTAAGAATCCCACTAAGAACTCAAGTGCTCGTGATAGGAAAGTATCGAACATGTGGGTATTTTTTTCAAAATGGTGACTGACAACTGACTGAAAGAAGGTATCTCTGACATGTCAGAGATATGCTGGCATGCAGTTCTACAAAGTTTGGTGAAGATGGAGAAAACAGAATAAAAACCACTCTCATCAAGCATTTCCAAATAAAAATCCCCTTCTTTTCCATAAAAATTAACTTTTTCTTCTGTGATTAACAGCTTTGACTTTTTGAACCAATGGGTTCTCTTGGGGGCCTTCCCTGAACTTTCCTTTATCTCCTTACTCTGCTTCACCAAGACTCCCACTCACAGCCAGTAATGACAACATCTGGAACCTGAGCCAACTGCAGAGCAGTGCTGCTAGGCTCGTGTCCCCAGACTCAGGAGAGGGTGCCAGACCCAACCTCCCTGGAAAAGTACTGGAATGGCCACTCCCCTCAGCCCCAAGAAGCACTCTGGACTTTGGAACAGAAACCGCGTCTTATCTTCATACTGCTCATCCCTCTTGTTGAAAACCAAGGGGGCTTTCCCGGGTACGGTGGCTCATGCCTGTAATCCCAGCACTTCGGGAGGCTGAGGCAGGCACATCACCTAAGGTCAGGAGTTCGAGACCACGCTGGCCCACATGGTGAAACCCCATCTCTATTAAAAATACTAATATTAGCTGGGCACGGTGGCACATGCCTGTAGTCCCAGCTACTCAGGAGGCTGAAACAGGAAAACTGCTTGAACCTGGAGGTGGAGGTTGCAGTGAGCTGAGATGACGCCACTATATTTCAGCCTGGGCAACAGAGCACGACTGTCTCAAAAAGAAAAAAAGGAAAAAATCAGGGGGCTCAATTTGTCCTTATGATGAGTCACTGCTTTCCAATGCAGGCTGTAGGATGGATCATTGTCAAGACAACCATATTTTTCTTCAGGAATTATGTTAAGTTTGGGGACGATGTTCCTGGCGATTAATATGGCTATTACTATTAAAATGTCACAAAATAGCAAAGAAATACTGTAAATCTCTATAGTCATTCACAGCTGGAAAACTAGATTCCAAGTCCTAGAAAAAGGCAAAAATGTAAAGTACATATTATATAAAGACTGTATCAGACACACCAAATTCCTTATCTTCTTTACCGTATGTTAGACTTAAAATAAATTAGTTGGTCAGAATTTACAAAGGTTTGGAGCGCTTAGAGATGGCTGTAGTAGACTTCTCTTAATTTTTTTTTTTTTTTTGATAGGGAATTTCGCTCTTGTTGCCCAGGCTTGAGTGCAATGGTGCGATCTTGGCTCACTGCAACCTCCACCTCCTAGATTCAAGCAATTCTCCTGCCTCAGTCTTCCAAGTAGCTGGGATTACAGGCACTTACCACCACACCTGACTAATTTTTTGTATTTTTTTTTCTTTCCTCCCCTTAATTTCCCTGTAGCAAGTCGGCAGTCAAAACCTATTCAGAGCCAAGGAACCTAAGGCAGACGTGGTAGACTCCAGAAAAAAAACATCATGGTGGCTGGTGACAATGACATGTGGGGCCCCAAGATGGGCCTGAGTTCGCATCTGTCCTCTTTGACTCACTCAATAAAATCTGGAGATGCCAAGACTCAACATTACAATGGAGCACAACTGCCAGAGATTTCAAATTAGGCTCCAGAAATAAAACTTCATTCACTTCAAAGAAAAAGCCAAAGACAGAAGCAGAACAAAGTGGCTGAGACCAGCAGAAAACTGTCCAGTCCAGGTCTCCATCAGGTATTACCTCCCATGGAGATTCAGGGAGAGCCAGAAATTGCTGGAAGTGCTTGGTTTCTCTGCTCGTGTGACGGGGTTTCACCAGGTAACATCAGACAGGAAGATAAAAGGTAGGCAGGGACTCATAGTTTAGTTTGAGGCTCTGCTGTTTTTTCTTTTGCTGAAGATAAGAACAAGAATACTGCGCCCCCAGATGACAGGACAAGAAACAGCAGACCTGCCCCTAGTTCAACTGAGTCCTGCAGGTGCATCTGCTGTAGGCCACAGCCAATGCCCCACATGACACCGGCCAGGAGGATGCCCAGAAAACAGCCCACTGCCCTGGGTGGACTATCTAAGATCACAGAGGCACCTTAGGCTTTATCAAAAATAGCAAAAACCTGTTTTTTCACAGATCTCTGAAGCTCATTTCTTTAAAAGCACTTTTATGAATCAAAAAGTAAACATTCTAAGGAACATATAATATTGTATAAAAAAAATCCAACCAACAGCTTTTAGTTGAGTCCATTTAGCCTCTCCCTGCCCTGAGGGCCACTGTCTGAGGAGCGCTGCCTCCTGAGAAGAGCAAGCTTCAGCAGCCTGACACCGACAAAAAGACAACTCTGAGGTTCTACATGCATGCAAAGCCTTCCAGGCCGGTAACCACATAACCATCCACCCCAACCAGGACACCTGGGAGGTGACAGGGCCACTCCCTGGGCTGGCAGTGCAGCCACAGGCACAGACACGAACTGGGCCAAGTGAGCCCAGGGTAATTAATGGCCACCCTGCTGGAAGGGACTAAAGCAAGTGGAATCAGCTTTGTCCCCCAGAAAGTGCTCAGCAGGGCAGACTGCTGTGTCCCCTGCCCAAGACAGCCTCCCCACATGTCACTGCAAAGGCCCCTCATTCCCCACCTCATTGTTCTACTTCTGACTCATACAAGTGCAACAAAAAAAAGGTGTAACTATGTAACTATTTGCATGGTATTTTTTAATTTATTATTTTTTTTGGAGACAGGTCTTGCTATGTTGCCCAGGCTGGTCTTGAACTCATGGGCTCAGGTGATCCTCCTGCCTCAGCTTCCCAATGTGCTAGGATTACAGGTGTGAGGCACCATGCCCAGCCAGCATGTTGTTTGTTTTTTTTGTGTGTGTATCTGTCTTTTGAGGCAGAGTCTCTAACACCCAGGCGGAGTACACTGGTACAATCTGAACTCATGGCAACCTCTGCCTCCAGGGCTCAAGAAATTCTCTGACCTTAGCCTTCCAAGTAGCTGGGACTACAGGTGTGTGCTACTATGCCCAGCTAATTTTTTGTAGAGACAGGGTTTGGTCATGGTCTCCAACTCCTGGGCTCAAGTGATCTGTGCAAAGTGCTAGGATTATAGGTGTGAGCCACTGTGCACAGCCCATGTTTCATTTTTAACATGGTTTTCTGTTAACCTTAATGCAATGTTTAAAACCAGCAAAAAGGAAATCGAGAAAAATTTGGGATTTTGATCACCATACTTACAGTAAACAAAGAGTTTAATCCCCAAACAACATCCTGAAATAAAAAAGAAAACAAGTTTCAGGCCATTGTGCACCTAAAGTCTTTTAAACCCATGATGAAGAAATACACACTGTACTGTATCAAAGCCTGTCTCCAGCATGGCTTGTTTTTCTAAAGATAGAAAATAAAAATAACTTCTTTTCAAGTATAACAAACAACTCTGGAAAATGCAAAGAGATGAGCAGTCTCAGGTAGTAAATATCAAATCAAAGAGAACATCAGTGACCCTTCCAGTCAGACCTGACAAGCCCACTCCTGCACGGCAGGGCCCACAGGCCGGTGTCTGCACAGGGGCTCTACCTTAAATCACTCTTAGCTGTTTCCACCAAATATAGTCCGACTTCTAAAAAGCCACCTTTAGAATAAAGTCTGTTGTGTTACATCTACCGCCTCTTGGGGTTGTAGATAAGTTATTACCTCATTCTACTAAGTTTTCTTAATAACTTTGCTTTAGCTATTCAAAGAATCATGGAAGATTCACAATTCAAGGATCAGAGACTTTCATTACCTAAAACTGAAAGCCAGTATTGTTCTACATGTACTATTTGCATCTGTGAATCACAAATTCATTCTCCATTTTCCTCTTCATCAACTCAAGAGTTTTTAGGCCTGTTCTCATGCTCATCCCATACTCTTTGCAAGTTGGTAATTTTATTTGTCCTTCTCTGCTTTCTCTAGTCCATCAGTCCATCCACCCACCCGTCCCTGACCTTCCAATGTGAGCCAGGCCTAGGGTTGGAGTGTGGGTAAAGATGAGCCCTCAACCTGAGAAAGGGGGGTGGACAGGTGGGCAGGGCAGCAGGCCAGCACTGTCCACGAGATGGGTTCCCCAGATCACCCACCCTGGGAGGAGAGGCTCCAGAGGCAATGACAGCCTCTGAGCCTGAGGGGAGCAGGAGCCTGCCAGGTAGAGGGCTAGAGGAGAGGACTGCCTTCCAGGTAGAGGCATGGCCTGCAGAGGGAAAGTTCTGAGAGGGCAGGACATTCCTAGAGCATGGGGAGAGGCTAAGAAAAGACTAGGTGGGCTGCCCACAGTGGCAGAGACTACAGCTCGGAGGAGCTGAGTCAGTACTGCATGCAGTCTGCAGTGTCCCCTGATGCTGGACCTGAGCCAAAACCCCCTTTCCTGTGCTGTTCCCCTAGGGTCCCTGCCTGGTGTTAGGTACCCAACACTTGATGGTCGTCTCTGGCCATAGGGAGTAGTCTGCACATCAGTTTGCTGTTCTTTCTCCAACATCTAGTGGGCTGAAGAGCTCAAGACATACCTGTTAAATGAATGGTGGCCATGAGGTTTCCTATGTGGCGAGTAGTTTGGCCGTGAAACCTGCAGTTTGAGCTCCTATCTCTGGTTCTAGAATGGTGCCTGGCAAAGCTGACAAGGATGCTCATCTGGCCCAAACTGACTGAGGTCAGTGACTAAGTAGCCCCACGCAGCAGGGAGAAGAGGAGGCAGGTTGTGCCTGGCCACTGGTGTGGATGTGACAGGTAAGGACATGTGCTGCTTTCTCAGGAGGCTGGCTACTGCAGGGAGAGGACCACAGGGACAACTTATGATCAAGGCACAGACTCTACCTTTAATGTTCTCGTGGGAGCCCAGCCAGTGCCGTCAATAGAATGTTCTCTCAGTAAACTAAAAAAGAAAAGTAACACACAGTGGTTAGTGAGGAGCGGTCATGGGCGCCCTGCATGCTGCCGACTAGTCCTCTCGGTATGTGTTTTATCTTCACCTATGCCATGCAGGAGATACTTTTTATCAAACCCATCTTTTCCTCTGTGGCTTGTCCGCTCCCTCTTGCTGAGGAAGGCATTTCTACCTCCAAGGTTATAAACATATTCAATTATAATGTCTTGTGTTATGTGTGTCTATTTGTTGTAATACTTGACATGGAAGTTTTGGGCAAAGAAAAAGCATGTTTAAAATAACACATAACGAAAATCTGTCAATTTAATATTCAGAAAATGACAATGGTGGCTGCGTGTGGTGGCTCAAGCCTGTAATCCCAGCATTCCAGGAGGCTGAGGTAAGGTGGGAGGATCACTTGAGCCCAGGAGACTGAGATCAGCCTGGGCAACAGAGGGATTTCCTGTCTCTACTAAAAATTAAAAATTAGCCAGGCACAGTGGTGCACGCCTGTAGTTCCGAAGGCAGGAGGACTGTCTGAGTCCAGGAATTCGAGGTTGCAGTGAGCTGTGATCGTACCCTCAAACCTGCACTCCAACCTGGGAAGAGTGTGAGGACTATTCTGTCTCAAAAAGAAAATGACAATGGCAACTAAATGACAAGATGACAACAGGAGTAACAGAAGCTTTTATCTTATTATGTGTATGTCAGGCACAATCCCAGGTGCTGTGCCATTAAATTGACTTAATGCCTATAACCACCTGTGGAGGAAGTACCACTGTTTCCCTGTCTCATACAGGAGGGAACCAAGGCACAGAGAAGACATGCCCAAGGGCACACGCCTCATGAACAGTGTTGTTCTTCCAACCTGGGCAGCTTACTGGCACCGATGCTCTGAAACACTGCTGATGCAAGTTAACAATGATAGGAGCTCCCAGCATACGACATTTTAGTAACCTTTTTTTTTTTTTTTCTTTTTTTTAAGTTCCAAAGAAAAAGCTTGAGTTTAAAGATTAATCCAAAATTCTGGATATCAGTCAGTCCTTAGGTGGGGAGCCCATGCTCAGGGAAGGCACACCAGGACTCAGGGGTTTGGTGAGGCCCTATTTCTGAAGCTAGTACCTGAGAGTCCTGGTCATTACTGTCTACCGGCTGCAAAGGTACCTCATATACTCGCATGGAAATGACCATTCCAGTGCTCACTTCCACAGCACATATGCTCAAACTGGGATGATACAGAGAAGACTGGCATTTTCACAGCAATCTTAAAAAGTAAAAAAATTTTTAAAATAATTTTAAAAAGATTAAATGATCATCCCATATTTTGAAAAAGTATAATTTATTGCCAAGTTTCCTTCTGGAGATAAAATTACATTTGTTGAATTATTTTATTATGCTGTGGCTTTGATCTGCACATAAAATATCAGGCTTTACAGGCTACACTTGTTACCTCTAATAAACTTATTTGAATTAGAGTCTTTAAATTCACGTAAATCAATTTAGATCAGGATAAAAGTAGGTAGAGTTTGAATCAAAGTTATAATCTTAATTGTCTATGAAGATCAGATTAAAAAAACAGATAACTAACCTTAAATTGATGATTAAAGTTTACTTTTACCCTTCCTTAAAAAGAAAAAAAGAGAGGACAGGCATGGTGGCTCATGCCTGTAATCCTAGCACTTTGGTTTGGGAGGCCAAGGTCGGCAGATCACGAGGTGAATAACATGGTGAAATCCCGTCTCTACTAAACATACAAAAATTAGCCGGGCATGGTGGCACGCACCTGTAGTCTCAGCTACTTGGAAGACTGAGGCAGGAAAATTGCTTGAAACCAGGAGGCGGAGGTTGCAGTGAGCTGACATTGTGCCACTGCACTCCAGCCTGGGCGACAGAGCAAGACTCTGTCTCAAAAAAAAAAAAAAAAAAGGGAAACTCAAATCATGTACCCTACCAACTGGCTGGATGTCTTTCTACCCTACAGAGGTATTGGTGACTTATAGATCTGAATTGCCAACTTTTGAATAACTTTTTGGGAACCAAGTCAAATCCTAGTGGCTATATTTTGTTACTAGAATGATCTAGCTAATCCTTTTCTTATATAGATCTTAATGCAACCTTCAGTTATATATTTGGCATTTATTTGTTGAATGCCTGTTTCACCCATAAAAGCAGGGAATGCTAATTGCTCTGCCAGTGCCTAGGCTCAATCAATATTAGCTGAATGAAGGGGAAGGAAGCTCACTCTGAGCTTTGCCATTGACAGCACAGGCAGAGCAGGATGGCTTAGCATCTGGCTGGAGCAGGTAATGGGGAGGCAAGGCCAGCCCAGCATGTGGTGGCCACCAGTTTGGACAGCAGTGAGGCTCATCAGGGGTGCAATGCCCCCAGGTACTGAGGAAGTTCTAGCCTGGCCTCACAGAGGATAGTCCCAGTGAGAGCTCAGGAGACAGAGACACTTGGCTATTAGAGATATTATTATTCAAGGAGGCAGAGGACACACCAGGAGCTGGAACAGAAGCTTGGGCTCTAGGAGAAGCTTAAACTGAGCTCTTGACTTGGGCCCTCCAATCCCACTGACATGGAGCCTCTGACCATGTGCCAGAGCAAGGGGAGGGCCCCTGCTGGTATGACAAGGTGGAACCAGAGCAACTCTCTCTGTAAGAGGAAAGTGCTCCTGTGCGCCAGAAATGAAAGGCAGGCCCATGGAGCACCAGGCACCAATCAGTCCCACTATGGGAAGAGCCGAGGTCACCACAAACCAGAGGGGTGGCTGGGCTTTTCTTTCCCTTTATTCAGAACACACCACAACCCTGCCACTGGACACCGTCTGCTTTTCACTAACAAGGTGGTCCCTGCACATCAATCTGGCACATTATTTCCTTAGATTAAATCCCTAGAAGTGAAGCTGACAAGTCTAATGGTACATACAAGTTAAAGGCAGTCTGCATGACTGAAGGACCAATGAAAGGTGTGCAAATATAGGCACCCTCCAACAATGAGAGAGCCTGTTCACTCTCTGTCACCCGCCCCCTGCAAGAAAACCATGAGATGTGGCTTACCACTGATTAGACTTGTGCCTGCCAATCTGACTGGGGTAAGCCGCACCTCATGGCTTCCGCACTTTTCTCTGGTTACTGATTAAGAGTGAACACCTCCTCAGATATTTACTGCCCACCTCTATTTCTCCTTATCACCTATTTGTAGCCAATGCCACATTTTTCCAGAGGAAGTATCCATCTTTTTTATAATGAATAGTAAGGACTATTTACATACCAAGGATGTTAATCCAGTTAATCATTTCTCCTTCCATTTTGTGTTCTTAATTTTTATGTGGTCAAATCTGACAATCTTTTCCCTCAAGATTTCTGGCTTTTGTATTAGGATACCATCTATTCATCCCTGTTAGGCTTTGCTAATCATCTGATTTCCCAGAAGATGGCAAAAAGGACAACAGAGCTTCCTATTCTGGACCCAGTTCTGACTGAGGCACAGGCAAGACAGGGAAGCAGAGTGTGGTCCCCCAGAAAGCAAGCCAGGTATCCTTGCAAGCACAGGAGGAATCGGGGTAGTGGGGGCCTGGACCAAATGCATTTATAATCTGCAACCAATGATGACGGAATTTTGACGTTTCAACACGTAAAGGACAGGTATGTAAAAGGGAAGATGCTTTTTAAAAAGGTATGCCTGGTAAAACGTATTTCCAACTATCTGTGAAAACTGAAGCTGATAGTGAAGAAAGGGAGCAGTCTATACAAAAATAAAATGGGCAAATGGGCACTAACTGTACTTCTGAAGAGAAAGGCATCCTGCTGTAAGGTTTCCAGCAGCCATGGCTCACACATGTCCTTTCAAAGGTGATTCGTGTTTACTTAGGAGAGAGGAACAAAAGAAAAGAGATGCGGAGGTTGAGCATGAGCACTGACGTAGGCCACTGATCATATTTCATGTTGGAAGTAGGAGAAACGTGCTAAGGAAACGCTTCATGCCTACTTTCCAAACTGGCTGAGTGTGAGGTACATACGGGTAAATAACCAGCCTGAAGTCTCAGCTGCCCCAAGTGGGGCGGGGCTGGACTCGGGTCCACGTGGTCTGGTATCAAAGCCCCTGCAATCAACCTTGCTGCCTTAAAGTAATGAAAGGGACAAAGTGCAGGAAAAATAAAGCCCAAATGTGAAACTTATTTTAAAAACCAACCCACCTATACATCTTTTCCAGCAAACTTAGGAGGAGAGGTCACTGACCCCTGACATTCTGTCATGTTGGGGATCAGGGACACAAGTCACAGCAGACATGAAGCTCCAAAGGGCTGCCTGCCCTAAGTGCCATGACACCTATTAGGACTGTTTTGGTAGAGAGGGCAGCTTAAATACAAGTGCCCAAGGTCGTCTTAAGCCTGCCATCTACATCTTTTCTCCTAGGTATCTATCATTAATCCTATTTTCTCATCTTAGCTAAAATCAGCCACATGGAGAGAATGTGGTCTCTCATTTAAATAGGAGTGGAACAAGATAAGGGACTCCAGGGGTCCATCCTGGAAAGGCAAGGAAGCTGCACTAAGAATGTAGCAGGGCTGTGGCCCCCAGAGGGCTACCAGAGGACACTGGTCTGTTGGCAGAAGGTAGGGTAGGGTTTGGGAGCAGGCAGGCAACCACAGCTACTTCGGCTGAGTCTAAGCCCTTCCTAATCTTGGCCATGCTTCAAAGTCTTCTCTCAGAGGAGACAACACATTTAAGAGCCCGACGCTCATACACGACACTCATAAATGTAGAAGAAAGAGAAGACGAGAAACTCACCTCAGACATATTTCCCCTGTCTCTGTGATGTTGGGGTGCCAGATCTTGGTCAGGCATTTCACTTTGGGAGGCTGCAACACAGAGAAAATGAGAGAGATCACACCAACAGTCTCCGCGAATCAGATCTCCAGGCCAGGGCCTTACCACATCCCCTGTCTAGATGCTGTTTCATGGCTTACTCAGTGTGCCATGTGACTCCCTGGGCATGTATTCAACCTTGAATACTCGCTCACCTCACCTACGAGGCATATATCAACGTGCTGCATCCGCAAGGGCCAGGCTCAGCAGCGAGTATGCCCGTGGGCTTCTGAGCTCCTCTCTACAAGCCCCACGTGTCCTGCCGGCTGATAGTGCTGGTGACTGGACCTCTGTCACCTCCCATACCCCCTGGGTTTGAGACTACAGGTGTCCACAGTGCACTCTAGGGAATAGTTCTGCATCCTCTGGCCTAAATCAAACCAGAAGCCCCCGAGGCCTTTGCACCAAAAGTTGCTAACTATGGCTGAAAGTTACTGCTACTTACAAGAACAGCCTGTTCCCTCTGATGGATTTTTCTGAAGATGCTACTGTCACATACATTTTCCTAGGTGAAAGCCCTAGTCCATGTTATACTTAAAGGGAGAAAGAGAATGAAAATGAATTTGTGGGGATAAAGTATATCAACATCATTTATGACTTGGCAGGTTTGGATGAAGTTCTTTTAAGATTTTTCTAGGTCAGGCATGGTGGGAGGCCACCTAAGAGGAGAAAATATAATTAACGACAGATATCCAGGAGAAAAAATCTCAGCACTTTGGGAGGCTGAAGTGGGAGGACTGCTTGAGGCCAAGGGTTAGAGATCAGCCAGGGCAATACAGCAAGATCTTGTCTCTCCAGAGAAAAAGGAAAAAAATGAGCTGGGCATGGTAGCTCCTGCTTGTAGTCCCAGCTACTCAGGAGGCTGAGCTGGGAGAATCACTTGAGCTCAGGAATTGGAGGCTGCAGTGAACTATGATTGCACCATTGTACTCCAGCCTGGGTGACTGAGTGAGACCCTGCCTCCAAACCAGAAAACAAAACAACAGATTTCTCTATTACAAAGGCAATCCATACTCAGAGAAAAGGACAACAAAAATGAAAATAAATAGATATAAATACATAATAAATTACGTTGTCGTTCACTTTTGTTTTTTTATGTAAGAATACATATACTCCTCCATCATAACTCTACCCAGAAATAATGTGACACCTGATGTACATGTATTCACGCCTGCAATATACTAATTTTTCTTTATAGAATAAAGCTGTGCTACATATGTTTTAGTTATTTCTGCCATCATTTCAGATGACATCCTGCATTCCATGGTAGTCCTGCCTGCGCTTAACAAGCACTTGCCTACCTCTGGGTCCTTAGGTTGCTCCCTCTTCTCCCAGCCCTGCTCTATCAAAAAATGCCCAAATCTTTGCTCACACTCTGGATGAAATGTCTCCTCGGATGAAGCCCAGGAAGAGGATCTGCTGGTCAGAACCCTAGCTTCTGGTACACTGCTTGTGTCCTTCAGAAGATGTGACACACCCCCCACACACACAACCTACAGTGAGGGAGAGGGTCTCTGCTCCAGGACCTCCCACAGCAAGTCTCCTTGGTTAATATGCAGTAAGTGTCAAATCACAGGATCTCATCAGAAAGGTCATCTCAAAAAACAATCAACCCTTTGTGAAATGGGTAACATGTTCCCTGTTTATCATTTGCTATTAATTTTTATTTATGATATTTCTGAGGTTTTTTATTTTTGTAATCAAATTTTTATCTTTGATGCCACACTTAGAAAATACTTCATTATCCAAATATCCTCTTTAACTTTCCAGTAAACTTTTACAGTTTCATCTTTTCATTTATTTGTATAAAGCAAAAATACTTTTTCAACACCCTAATGAGTATTCTTTCTAATTTCAAAATACTACAAAATCAGTAGACTAAAAAAAAAAAGATTAAACTGACAGTGCAAATGCATATGTCTGAGGACACAGAATTTAGGTTCAGAATGAGTTTAAATACATTTCACATTGTGCTTTCCTACAAATAAATGAGAATGCGTTTAATAGAAAGGAGGAACTGCATCTTTCCCTTCCAGAGGCATTTGAGCTGCAGACTGCCACTCAGGGCAGGGCTGTGTGCACCCCTCTGAGTCACTGGATAGTGGCAGTCTAGTGTTAGGCCGAGTCACCAACTCTCAGTTTCTGCACCAACTTAGAAAATTGGCAAACTCACTCTCCCTCCCAAGCAGGTGCCCCTTCTGCAGAGGCCCTCGCACATGACCATCCAGCCTGTACTACCCACATCTCCCAAAGGCTTGGCGGGTATTTGCCCTTCCTCCTGTCCCTTTCACACCTTCCGCAGTTTGATGTTAACACAGATGCCTGCTTTTGTCAATGGTTCTTTTAACTGTGGTTCCAGAACAAATGGCAAAACTCTGCACCTGGCTTCTGACACATATACTTTCCAAACTAAACTGGGTCCATAGCCCCTTCCCCCCAACCCCAGTGGCCCACAGCTAGACAAGCAAGAAATGCCCAGCCCTCCCACATTTCCCCTCAGTGCTTGGCACGGCCACCATCACTCACTCTGCCAGGAGTCTAATCTATGACAAATGTGGACTTTCAAACCAACAGGGAAGTGGGTTATTCAGTGGGCCGCTGGCTACCCATGTGGAAAAACGCAATGTTCCAGATATATTAAAATTAAACATAAAAGAGAATTATAGGAGGAGTAGAAGAAAATGCAGATGATCATCTTGGGCTTTAAGCATTTCATAACATACAAAACTCAAACAGCGAAACAAAAAAACCAAATTTGTACAACAACTAAAGATGACAAATGCAAAACAAAGAAAGTATTTATAGCATAGCTAAAAAAAGCTAAGAAAAAAGTCTCACATACTTTACATAAAAGAACGCTACTAGCGTTTTCCATTGGGGAAAAACAAGTATCCCCAATGGAAAAATAGGCAAAGGACATAATAACAGCTCATAAAAAATATAAAGAGCTAATTAGTAGGAAACAGTATTGAGCATCCAACTTAAGATGAAAATGCAGCTAGACGCAGTGGCTCACGCCTGTAATCCCAGCATTTTGGGAGGCTGAGACGGGTAGATCACAAGGTCAGGATGAGACCAGCCTGGCCAACATGGTGAAACCCTATCTCTGCCAAAAATACAGAATAAGCTGGGCACAGTGGTGCACTCCTGTAATCCCACCTACTCGGGAAGCTCAGGCAGGAGAATTGCTTGAATCTAGGAGGTGGGGGTTGCAGTAAGCCAAGATCGTACCAGTGCACTCCAGCCTAGGCGGCAGTGATACTCTGTCTCAAATTAAAAAAAAGAAAAGAAATGAAAATGCAATTGCTTGAACCTGGGAGGCAGAGGGTACAGTGAGCTGAGACTGTGCCACTGCACTCCAGCCTGGGTGACAGAGCTCTCAAAAAAAAGAAATGACAATCAGATATCAAATGAGATACCATTTCCTCCCAACATGGCAACAACAACAACAACAAAAAGGCAAATACTCCACCTTGGTAGGTGGTTAGGGAAAGGGAATTTTCAAACACTGATGGTAAGGATGCCAACTGGCATTCTTCTCTGGAAGGTAATTTAATAGGATTATCAAGAACCTTAAAATGGAGCATCAGTTACTCAATACCCACAATGCCATGTCTAGGAATTGATCCAGAGGAAAGAGGCAGACAGACCTAAGATGCATGTCCCGGACTCACCTCACAGCCCTGTTTGTTCTGGGGCAGCAGACCATAGCCTACAGACCATACCCAGGCTGGGACTGTTTTCACAGGGTCAAAGACTGGTTTTTACATTTTTAAAAGGTTGTTAAAAAAAAAAGAATATAGGACAGAAACCATATGTGGTACACAGAGTCTAAAATAATTATTACTTAGCCCTTTACGGAAAGTCTGCTTTATACTACAAAAGGTTGGTCAACCAGTGACCAATGATAAAGGACTGGTTTAAAATGACACATCATACAAAGAAGTGCTCTTATTAATGATGATGCAGTTGTGCGTTGACTGACATGAATGCATTATATCCATCGTATTATAATGGGAAAGCCCTGAGTTACCAGGCTATGCGTAGCATTACCCCATTGGTATGTGGGATTTATACTGTCTGCAGCAGACATTAGAGAGTCATGGTGATCCTCTCTGGGTGGAGAGATTACGGGTGATTAATATTCTATTTTTGCATGGCTGTGTTGTCTCAATTTCCTACAAAGTCTTATAATTTCATATGAAGAAGAAGGGTGAGTGGGAGTTCAAGTGTCACCTGTGGTGGTCGTCACTGCTAAGTGTCTCCGGCTCTCCTCCTCTACGGCCCAGGGCAGAACAGCCCTTCCTTAGTCCCTCCGGGCTGGCCATGACCAGGTAATCTGATTTGGCCAACAACATGTGAGGAGACGTGGCATCTTCACTTCCAGGAGGAAACTAGAGCCAAGAACAAAGAGCTCCAATCCTTTCTCCTGCTGCAGCACACAGCTTCCTCCAACCAGCTCCTGACCACATGCCTGAGGGCTGTGTGACACCACAGGCCAGGTGGGGTCTGGGCTAAGGCTCCCTCCTCCTCCAAGGCACCCCCAGGCCATGCCACATGCTCCTCCTCTGGACGGACCATTAGCCTGAGGAACAGCTATTCCCCACATCACCACCCAGGCTCCATACTACCATGTCAGTGTCTGTCTCCCCCGAGTCTGGAATTCTTAAAAGGTCCCAAGTTCCCATCCTTGGCCTCCAGCGTCTGACACGGAGCCTGGCACAATGTAGGGTCTCACTAAATGTTACCACATCAGTTTGGCCAGTTTCTAACCTGGCAAGTTACAAGGCAGGCTTCAGGCTAGGACTTATATTTCAGAGACAAAGGGACAAAAACACAAAGAAAATCTGAATTTTAGCTGTTGGGATATGGGGTGGGGGATTCCAAATAGACATTTTTCTTTTGAAAGTTTATTCTTTTTTTTTTTTTTTGAGACGGAGTTTCGCTCTTGTTACCCAGGCTGGAGTGCAATGGCGCAATCTCGGCTCACCGCAATCTCCGCCTCCTGAGTTCAGGCAATTCTCCTGCCTCAGCCTCCCGAGTAGCTGGGACTACAGGCACGCGCCACCATGCCCAGCTAATTTTTTGTATCTTTAGTAGAGACGGGGTTTCACCATGTTGACCAGGATGGTCTCGATCTCTTGACCTCGTGATCCACCCGCCTCGGCCTCCCAAAGTGCTGGGATTACAGGCTTGAGCCACCGCGCCCGGCCCCGAAAGTTTATTCTAAAATAATGATGAACTTTACTAAAAGTTTTCCAGATTCATAGTCTTAATAACAGACCTTCACTGCAAGAACTATAACTCTTAGGAGATAAGTCCTTATGAAGTACAGAAATTGTGTAACATCAGTCATGGCGGTGAAGCAGAGGCACCCTGAGAAGCCCCAGCCCACCGCTAGGCTCCACACTGGCCACTGCTGTGTCTGCTCTCACTGGCCCATGTGGCACCCTCAGAGAGAGCCCTTACACTCTCTATCCTGAATGCCTGCCTATGAGATCTTCCTACATTGGTTGAATTATTTCATCTCTTTTTTACACTGTTAAGTTCACGGGGTGCAGAGAGGGGGCAACCACTGGACAGTCTGTATTTCTTGCCTAGTGTGGGAGGCACAGGCTACACACTGGAAACAAAGTGTGGGCAAGACAGCTGGTACTCCCTCAGGGCTTACAGCCCAGTGGGAAAGAGATGCTCGGGAGAGTCTGTAAGTAATGATTCATTATAAACATGGCAAATGCAACTACTTTTATGTTCAACCAAGTTGCCACACCCTAATGGTCCCCTGGAGACTCCCTGATGGGGACACCAGTGACATATGACAGCCCCTAAGGAAGTTGCCCCACACTTGCCTGAATGAGAAGCAGACAGGAAGAAAACACGAGAAGGGGACAGAAGGCTGGGTGCAGTGGCTCACACCTGTAATCCCAGCACTTTGGGTGGCCAAGGTGGGCGGATCACCTGCGGTCAGGAGTTCAAGACTAGCCTGGCCAACATGGTGAAACACCATCTCTACTACAAAAATAAAAATTAGCTGGGTGTGGTGGTGGGCACCTGTAATCCCAGCTACTCAAGAGGCTGAGGCAGGAGAATCGCTTGAATCCAAGAGGTGGAGGTTGTGGTGAGCTGAGATTGTACCATTGTACTCCAGCCTGGGCAACAAGAGTAACACTCCATCTCAAAAAAAAAAAAAAAAAGCTGGGTGCGGTGGCTCATGCCTGTTAATCCCAGCACTTTGAGCTGAGGCGGGCGGATCACCTGAGGTCGGGGAGTTCGAGACCAGCCTGTAACATGGAGGGGTTACAACATGGAGAAATCCTGCCTCTACTAAAAATACAAAATTAGCCAGGCATGCTAATGCATGCATGTAATCCCAGCTACTCAGGAGGCTGAGGCAGGAGAATTGCTTGAACCCAGGAGGCAGAGGCTATGGTGAACCGAGATCGCACCATTGACTCCAACCTGGGCAAAACTCTGTCTCCAAAAAAAAGTCGGGGGAGGCAGATAAGGAGGAAAGGCTGGGGAGAGGAGAGGAAAGGACCTTATGGAAGCAGGGTGGGAACACGGTTCATGCAGAGCCACCAGCTGTTCTCAGTATTTCTGGGCTTGAGAAGATGAGGTTTTATTCCTGATGAAATCTGACCAGTCCATCATTTATGAAACTTCCAAAAGAGACAGCAGTGGAAATAGAAAAATGTAAGATCATCACCATAAGAGAGCAAAAGGTCAAACACAGCACACAGAACTTCAGAAAAGCTTCAGTGGGATGATGTGTTTATTTTCCCATGGGGACTGGTAGTGGGGAGGGGGGCTGGGGAATAGCAGCTATGAGAGAAGAACAGGAAAATCCTAGAAAAAATTTAAGCCTTACCCTCCATCTCACCCTCTGTGCCAGTCTCCAACTACTAAGGGAAACAAGTCTTCAAGGCTCAGTGGCTTTCAAGTCCTTCTTTATTCCATTTTCCTTCCTATTTCTTGAAGTCACAAATGGGAAAGGACAGCATGACAAACATTTTCTCACCACTTGTGTGGTAAGAAGGGCACACGCTTAAAAGCTGGGCAGCCCTGGACATGAAGTGACTTCAACAATTCAGCTGTCCACATTGGCAAAGCTAACGTTGTTAACTTTCTAATGTATAAAGACATGAATGTTAAGATCACCCAAGGACAGGAAGATGAGGCTTGAACCCGGGACGTAGAGGTTGCAGTGAGCTGAGATCATGCCACTGCACTCCAGCCTGGGGGACAGAGCAAGACTCCATCTCAATTAAAAAAAAAAAAAGATCATCCACTGCAATATCAGAAGAATGGAATAAAGTAATGTGAATGGAATAAAGTAACCTGGCACACAGAGGCTGTCAATCATGCCTGTCCTTCCTTGGTATTTTTTTTGTTTTGTTTTGCATTTTCTTCCTATAATGAAAACAAGAAACTCTGCTACTAGATGATGCCAGATACACCTGAAACAATGGTTCTCTGATGCCTCATGACTCGTCTGGTAAGTTTATCAGCTGATACTTAAATCCCTGCTATGGCTTCCGAATGGTGTGTCATAAATTTACCACCCTATAATTTTAACATTATTACTCCATAATCCACAGAGATGGCCTATCTAAAAGTATTTAGCAGCAAATCTAAATATAGAATTTTAAATACTGTATGCCTGGTTGTTTCCAGAAACCACCAGAGTCCAAATTCTAAACATCTGCACTGAAACCATGCCTCTGAAACCACCTCGCATCGGACAGTGTGCAGCGCTCTGTCACCAGGTTTCTCAGTATGGTTTGGGAAGGACGGAAAGTCCCAGCAGGTGGTGGATGGACAGACTGGAAATGTGTATTTTCCTGTCTTTGTATACAAATTAAAAATTTCTTGGACTGCCAACTCTTCCCCATCCCCATAAATTACATTTCACAAACAACTCTAAATGGAGTCGCCCAGTAAAAAGTCCATTTCCATAGATTAAGGTTTGGCTTTGAAAAAAACTGCTGCAGACACTGAAGTGAGCCCAGGTGGCTGGGGTCAGGGGCAACTTTACTCATCAGGCAGTGGGGACACACTTCCTACAAGCAAAGTAGCAGGCACAGTGTCCCCAAGGCCCACATCCTCATGATGGGAGTGAGGCCTCCTTTTCTATGGCAGCGCCATCAGCTCGTGCTTTCCTACCTGATGGACCAAGAGGGTTAGTTAGAACATGTGAGGAAGGATACACACCTATAGTGCACGCCATTAAGACAAGCACGCACTGCCCACACCAACTCCTGGCAGTTTGGGCTGAGACACATCACACCCATCCCTGAGGTGCAGACACGCCCTCTCTAATGCCCCAACTCAGGGGTACGGAATTATTCAGAATCTCCAGTTGTCACTGTCAAATCGAAAATGCCCAACCAAACCCCCACATCTGAGTTTTCTCATTTTCTCCCCATTCTTCCCCAACTCCAGCTGTTCATTCCAGTTGACCTGGTCCATCTGCCTTCTGCAGTGTGTAAGTTCTCAGGTCCACAACTTTCACCACAGTTCGCCACATTTCCATGTCACCTGTAACACCCTCCCCTGGTTCTGGGCCATGACACGGTGACTCCAATTCAATTTCCCCCTAAAAGCTTAACTAGCCCTGACCACTTCCCAAAGTGATCACTGCTTTCCCTTCTCTGAACTCTGGAAAAGTAGTTTCCTATCATTGATCAGTATCTCTACTGTCTTTTACTTACCATTTTTATCACTTCCTCAACTTTCTACGCTTTATCTCTCCTTGGTCTGTAAGTTCACCCAAAGCAAAGACATAATATAATGGTATTTGGTATAATTATTAACATGAAACTATAGGTATAAATTACTTATAGCTTAAAATTACAAGTCATTGTTCTCTGAAATTCTAAAATACACATTTGATAGACTTCTGGAATTTTGGTGTTATATCATGAACAAAACTACGATCATTTTATTAAATGCTTTTTTTCTTCAGTGCCAGACTTTAGCAGACAAGAGTTACAGAAAATACACAGGCAGGCTGCCTGGTACATAGTACTCGTAAGTTTTTGTGGAATAAATGAATTCTCTGCTGACACTCGAAACGCTGCTGATGAGTGACATTCACCCCAAAATACTGAAGGGAGTTCTCAGTCACACACGGACACACGCAGAGGGGAGTGCAAGGGCCCTGCGCCAGTGGTGGGCCACAGTCACAGGCAGCCCCGCCCGAGAAGTAGAACAACAGGCTCAACGCAGGCTACTCACCACCATGTTGTACGCATCAGGAACTTCAGTTTCAAACTGAAATTTTCCACCCTGGTAGTAACCCTCATCTATCAAAAAACACAAAACAAAACAAAAAAATCCTTTAAATTAAAAAAAAAGGAAACAAAAAGCAAACACTCTGTTAGGATATGGCAAATACAGAGAATCAGGAGTTAAAAACAGGCCTGCAGAGTTCCTTGGTTCCATCACCAAATGCACATACACTGGAGGGAGTCCTGCCCCTGCGTGAATAGAAATGGGCTACATGCATCTGTCTCCTCCGGGCGCTGAGGGAGGGAGGGGACACCCTTCGGGGCCATCTGACTGGCCTCTTCGCACCCTACCATCTTCCTGGAATGCACAACCCTCTGAACACGTCTCATGCCTTAAGTGACTTCTTTATCTGTTTACTGCTGGTCTCCCCAAGAGAATGTCAATTGGAGGACACATGACTAACAGTCACCAACAGACACTTACTGAGCACCCACCCTCTGTTGGGCATGGTTCTCGGCCTTGGGGACATGGCAGTGAACCGAAGAGAATCACTGCCTTAGTGAGCGCTTGGCGCAGCCTTCACAACAGAGCAGGCCCTCTGGAAATGTGGGCTGGCAGGCACCAAGGACGATGCCCAAGGTCTAAGCCAACCACATGCTGTGTGCCCCCACTCCCTCTTTACCCTGTCTCCCCCCACACACTGTCGATCCCACAGGGCAGTGTCTCTCTTCAGATGGTACCGAGACTGGGGTCAGTAAATGGCTGCTGGTGCCAGCAGAGGGCACTCCAGCATGAATAAGCTTGGAAAAGCCACCTAGGAATTAAATTATTCTCAATTTTCAAATTTGACAGAATTAGCACCATTTTAAAATGGAAAATCAACTTCCCCTAAAATATTTACCATCATGAACAAACCAGCAATATTAAATCTTGTCACTTTCCTCAATGTTTTTATATGAAATAAATGCATAACAGCAAGTTGTTAGCCTCAACAAGTCATCATTTAAAATAAAATCCATTCCTTGAGAGTTTAGACTGCATCAACATTTATGTTAACTGCTGTTTATCCAGCAGTTAAAACTGGCATTACCTGGAACCTAACATTTTTTTCTTTGCCAATTTGATAGAAGAGAAATACTAGTTCTCTTTTATTTTATATTCTCTGATGAATACCAGTGAGGCTAAAATTTATATTATTATTGGTCATTTATGTTTTTGCTGTTAAGAACTGAATGATCAATGTTCTGAAATGCTCCATTTATTACTGAGATAGTCACCTTTTAAAATCTCTAAAGAAAATTAGCGTTTGCTTTTTTTATGTTATATTTTTCTTAGGCTGCTGTTTGCATTTTGATTTTGTGGTTTCTGAACACTAGTTTTCCCTTTTTAAGATGCTAATCTTTCTGTAAGCTTTCTGTCCTTGGTATCATTCTTAAAAAAGGGCTTTCGCAGCTGGGAGCAGCAGCTCACACCTGTAATTCCAGCACTTTGGAAGGCCAAGGTGGGTGGATCACGAGGTCAAGAAATCGAGACCATCCTGGCCAACATGATGAAACCCTATCTGTATTACAGATACAAAACTTAGCTGGGTGTGGTGGCACACACCTGTAGTCCCAGCTACTTGGGAGGCGGAGGCAGGAGAATCACTTGAACCCGGGAGGCGGAAGTAGCAGTGAGCTGAGATAGTGCCACTGCACTCCAGCCTGGGCAACAGAGACCCTGTCTCAAAAAAAAAAAGAAGGCCTTTCCCAACCAAAATTTCATAAACACCCTCCTATATTTTCTTCTAGTAATTTAATGGTTTCATAGATTACATTTAATCCGCTCATTCATTCATCAACTGATTACGGACTAAGGTGGTTATTTTTTTCCTAGCCGGTTGCTTCCTCATCCCAGCGGCATTTATTATTCTAGCCTTCCTCCACTTGTTTGAGATGGGTATTTCTAATTTTTATAAATACACTTGGACTTGTGGCTGACAGTTTAAAGTCTTTGGCAAAGATACTTGTTTGGGGAAGTTTTTAACTGCAGATATGAGAACTTTTCAAATAAGTGGCATCTTAGGTATAAAATACTCAGAGTATAATATCCTTGTTTGCCAAAGCATGTGTGGATGTTGGTCTTTTATACGTACTCTGATACTGACCACTGTGGCACAGCACAGAAATTCAACGTTAGGCGTAACGTTACAAAGCGTAAAGTCCATTCTGTGAACTGTTACCACAGCTTTTGGATGATGCTGCTGCACCCGTGCTGTTCTTTTCCTTTAGAATGATTACTACCCATGTGAGACACCTTGGTCATGGCTGTGCTCTGGCCATTCCATCCTGCCATGCTCTATTTTTTCTCTAGTTGGATTTCTATTTCATGGATTACAGAGTTTCAACTCTATTGCCTACCACTTTCAAAGATGTTATTTGGAATAACATGATTCTCGCTTTACCTTATTCCCTCTTCTCCAGTCAAGTTCTCATTTAATAATTATAAGGATTATATCTTCTCTTAATCCATTAAAAAGTGAGAACAGTCTGTTCTATGTTTTTCTCTTTCATGAAACAAATCTGTCTCAGGAAAATGATCTGCTCCTGCATCAGTACTTTTCCCCTCTTTGAAGCTGCACAGCTTTTAGACCTGATCTAAGTCTGCTTATTTATTATCGTATTTGCCCAGAAATTCCACAGTCCAGCTTAAAAAGCAGCTTGGGAGCAGACTGGACTGAGATGAAACCCAGGAGCATCTCTTATTTACAAGGTTTCCTTCACGATGACCCCAGCTTAAGAGTTCTGATTCACCTTCTGCACCTGGCTCTGGGACTGGTTGGCCCAAGGTGGAGACAGTTCAGGGAAGGACTGTTCACTTCCAGAGCTGGCAGGTAGAGGGCTCATTGAGTATGTCTGTAACTGCAGCGTGCGCTGTGGCCCAGAGCACAATATACAAGTCTAGGACAGGCCAATTCTATGTTACTATCGTCCATGGCTGCCGGGGCTGAAAACATTATACTTCTCAGACAACTAGGTTTCAAAATACAATAATGAAATGCAACCAGGGAAAGTTCCTGGCACTCAGTTCTCAGTCAGCTGCCTCGCCCCTGCCCCACTGTTACAATTAGAGAAATTACCCTCCTCTTCCCTTGTGCTTCAGAGCCCACTCCCCACTACCTTTGAGGGGCCATACTCCAGAGTCTCCAAGGTTACTGGGAGCCCTGGGAAAACAAACCGTTTGAAGGAGTATGTCGGCACAAATCACTGTGACAGAATCCATTTCTAGATGGCCAACATCCACACATGTTCTATCCGGGAACAAATCTGAGGACAATGCCCTCAAGGCCAAAGAGTCATGCCAGATCCCCATCCCACCCCTGTTTCACAACCTTCTTCCCCCCTGTAAAAAAAGGCCCATCTCCCCTTGTACTAGAATGAAATGCCTTGAGGACTGGACATTTCCAGGGGACAAAAGTACTCATGATGCACTGATAGCAGTAAAGCCACCTCAAAGCAACGCATTATGGTAGGGCTGTGCTTTCCCCTATATTTGCTATTTCCCCAACCACTGCATCTCCATCCATTTGCTTTTCTCTACCTATATTCATTTCTCTTTTTTAAATTATTTATTTATTTTTGAGACCGAGTTTACTCCATTGCTCAGGCTGCAGTGCAGCGGCACAGTCACAGCTCACTGCAGTCTTGAACTCTGGGGCTCAGGTGATCCTCCCACCTCAACCACCCAAGTAGCTGGGACTACAGGCGTGCACCACCACATCCAGCTAATTATTATTTTTTTTTGAGACAGAGTTTCGCTCTTGTTATCCAGGCTGGAGTGCAATGGCTCGATCTCGGCTCACTGCAACCTCTGCCTCCTGGGTTCAAGCAATTCTCCTGCCTCAGCCTCCTGAGTAGCTGGGACTATAGGCGTGTGCCACCATGCCCAGCTAATTTTTGTATTTTTAGTAGAGACGGGGTTTCACCGAGTTGACCAGGATGTGTCAACATGGTGAAACCCGGTCTCTACGCATGAGCCACCGTGCCCAGCCTCCAGCTAATTTTTTACAGAGATTGGGTCTCACCATGCTGCCCAGGCTGGGCTCGAACTCCTGACCAAAGTCATCTGCCCATCTTGGCCTCCCAAAGTGCTGGGATTACAGGCCCGAGCCACCACACCTGGCCTATATCCATTTCTGTAAAGGGCAAAGCATGGTGTTATAAATAGTACGTCCTTGTTCATGCTGGAGTGTCTTGGGTTCAGAAACTGGGGCATATGATGGTAGGGATGGTAAAACTTCATTTAGTACCTTCAGTCCCGAGACCACTGTAAAAGCAGGCATCACCCCTGTGAGAGGCAAGCAAAGAGGATGCCAGGACACAGCAGCCTTCCTCCACCCAGGGCACCAGCTCCATGCCTCACCTATCTAACTAGGAGCAGGAGCTCAGAGTGAGATGGCTGTCAGAGGCACATTGTTAGAATGAAAGCGAAGTAAGACTTTGCCTGAGAGAAAGAGTCTGATTTGGCTGACTCATTTGACAATTAATGTATATGGCAGGCAACTTTGATAAACCGAATGGCTGAATCTGCAGCTCCAAGCTTTGGGTGAAAATAGAAAGAATGAAGTAAGATTTTTACATATTTTACAAGCTGCCTGCCTTGACCAGCGGTATACATATTAGTATGTTGAAATTAACAATACTGCTGTTTTTCTCAACTCCTTCTCAGAATTCCGGCAAAAGCTGGCAAAGCTGCTCTGAAGTGAGGAGTGACAGATGTAACTATTTGGGGTGGAAAAGCATTCTGATGTCCCTGCAGCTGACAGGGATTGGTAAAGTGATTCTGGACACTTCAGAAACTGGAGCAAAGAACTCGAATGACTGAGTGACAAAGCCTTCTCGAAGTCAGGTGGCTTCCAGTTCTCTACTTTCAACTAAATGGAAGAAGGAACCTATTCTAATAGTTGAAAAATCATGGAAATACTTTATATGAAGACAGGCAAGGTGGCTCATGTAATTCAGCACTTTGGGAGGCCAAGGCAAGTGGCCTGCTTGAGCTCAGGAGTTCAAGACAAGCTTCAGCAAGATGGCAAAAC